AGATTGAGAGAGAGGAGAAGAGGGAGAGAGTCAAAGCGAGAGATAGAAAGAAACCAACGCCCTCTATAATTCCGCGCAACCTCTGCTCGCATGATGTGCAGCGATTGTCTCCGTTTCCATGACGACTGCAATGATGTCATCCGCACCGACAACCGACAACCGAAGATACGCGACAAGTGAACGCGTGCAACAAGTGAACATACGTGACAAGTGAACGCGCGCGACAAATGAACATACGTGACAAGTGAACGCGCGCGACAAGTGAACATACGCGACAAGTGAACATATGCGACAAGTGAACATAACGACGTACATGACAGCGGTAACATTTGCAGCGAAATCACAACTAAGCGCAAACACCGACACCACAGACCGTGAAATTGATCGGGGGCGGGTGTGTGTGGGGGTGTGGGTGTGTGGGGGTGTGGTAGGGTGATAATATTCACGTGAGGGGGGTAACGGAGACAGAAATGCGAAAAATGTCAACCAGTCCGCTCTAACACTCGCATAATCGGCTAAGAGGTGGCGCCACTAGCGACACGCACACCTCCAGTGACACGTACTGAACTAAACTGTAAAAATGAAAAATTACACATGTCATGGCTATACATGTATACATATATATATATATATATGGGCGGAGAGTCAGTAAATATACACGTGTGTGTGTGTACGTATATATATACACACATACATGAGGCATTCGAAATAAAATGACGCACGGCTAACAATCACATGTAGGTGGCGCTGTGCTAGCACACGTCGAGCGCCGGCGACGTCACAGCGCGGCGTCGACCTACGACGCGTAGGGGGCGCCACTGAAACACGACGCAGCCATTTTGGATTTTGCCGCAAAACGCAGAGAAAACGACGGAGTAGACTGCCGCCGCCCCCACGTCGTTACCAGGTCAACGCCGCACAGCGGAAGCAAACGTCGCCAGTCTAAACGAACGAGTCACCGTCCAGCGCTCGTGGCCGGCAGAGGGGGAGGGGTGGGGCGATCCACCCCTCCCCCCCGCCGCTCCCTCTCCCTCCCCCCGCGCGCCTACATACACACTACGCTATATTGCACAGTGCGGGGTCACGTGCCGGTCATCGCAGCTCACAGCGCCCCCTGGTGATCCAGTCTCGAACCACGCGAGCAATGCTAACTAGAAAATTACAAGGCCTGCAGCTGCTAGCAAAGACACACAGAGGTACAGACGCATGTACACTAGGTCTGGGGGATAGATAGTCAATTCCTGCCTCTACAATCGAAATTAATATCGAAATCGAAATTAAAAATAAAATAGGAATTAAACAACACTTAAAAATCGAAAATTAAATTTAAAATTAAAATCAAAGTAAAAATTCGATTTCTCGAAGTCATAATGGCATCGACCACGCCCCGGCGCTGCGTCGTGATTGGTTGACGCCGCCCCCTGCCCTCCGACGCCACCCCGCACTGTGCATGCTAACTTCCACCTAGACACGCCGACCACAAGACTCCTGCTGCGCCCTCTACTGGCCCAGCGTCCGCGCGCGAACATCGGAATTAAACGAACGAACGACGTAAATTTCGTCGTCGTCGCGTGAGATGGCGACGCTTCCGTTCGCGCGCGCACGCTAGCGCCCCCTGGTTAGCTGGTTAACACACTCCTCCTACACATCGGTGTGCAATGAGAGAGAGAGAGAGAGAGAGAGCAGACAGGCCGAGCATACGTAGAGACTGGAGGATGCACCCACAGGCTGTAAGGGTTAGGGTTAAACCGCACCCCACCTTACCTACACCCTACCTTAGGGTTAGGCCGCAACACGCATACACACACACACACACACATATATATAATATATATATATATAATATATGTATAATATATGTATGTATATATGTATATATACATATTGTAAAAGTATGCTATGCATTGTATATGATGGATAATTGCCTAAATAAATGAAATAAAAAATAAAAATACCGGCACCCTCTCCTTCGCTCAGCCTGCCTGCTCGGCTCTCTCAATGATCTAACTAGTGTGTAACAACGTTAGGCTTAGATACAAATATCTCGAAAAATGGCCTAAATATCTTTCCGGAATATCTCCAAGGAGATTGCTTTTATGTTGATGTGTGTTTTGCTTGGTACATGTACGTAATTGCCTACTGATTTTATAATTTATATTTCTACATGCACCAATATATATACAATATATAATATAATTGTTAAAAAATATAAAAAATGGGCATAAGTCATTCAATAAAAAATGTTTCTGTAGTCGGCCCTTTTCTGGCGGGCTTTGCGTCCAGGTGAGGCTGCCAATACAAATGCAATATAATTATTTATTATGGCCCTCACCCCTTCCGCATTCCCCAACCTCCCCTGCCCTCCTCTCCGCCCGTCCTATGTTCCTTCCTAGGGAGGAGCCGGCGGTGGGAGTGGGAAGCGGCCGGTATGGCGGGGGTCGCGGGAGTTTTTCCATCTCTTCCTTCTTCGTGTCTCTTTCCTCCTCTTCCCGTCATTCCTCTCTCTCTCCGTCCTGAGGCCCCGTCGCCAGCTTCTACCCCTTTCCTTCCGTGTGTAGTAGGGATGCATGACATCAAATGAGTGTTCCTCTCTCCAAGCTTTCCCATCCTCCCTTCCCTCTCTCTCTCTCCATCCGACTCTTCCCCCCTTCCCTCACGCAGAAATAAGAGAGAAGAGATAGAGATGTGTAGTGAGAGAGAGGATGTATAGGGATAGTGAGAGAGAGGAGCAGATAGGAGAGACAGAAGTGAGTGAGCAGAGATGAACAGAGAGTGTGTTAGAGAGAGATGAGCGAGAGAGAGAGAGGGAGAGAGATGAGAGAGAGAGGAGATGCAGAGATGAGGAGAGAGAGAGAGAGCAGAGATAGAGATAGAGAGAGGAGAGAGAGAGTCAGAGATGAGAGAGAGAGAAGATGATGGATGAGAGGAGGAGAGAGATGACTGATGAGTCACTGAAGATGAGAGGAGAGATAGAATGAGATGAGAGAGAGAGATGAGAGAGCGAGATGATCTGTTATTGTTATGCAGGATCCTGTCTGCGAGAACATCAGCCGGTTCGCTTACT